TTTGAGACAGGGTCTCTCTGTAGCCCCAGCTGGCCTGGAACTCATTATGTAAGACCAAGCTGGCCTCAAGCTCACAGAGATCCCCCTGCCTCTGCCTCCCTAGTGCTGGAATTAAAGGCGAGCACCAGGACCCCCAGCATCAGATTAGATTTTGGTTACAAGAATTAACTAGGAGCAGGGAGTGGTGGCATACACCTTTAGTCCCAGCAGGAAAGCAGAGATCAGGCAGATCTCTGAGCACTATGTAGGGCCAACCTGCTCTATGTAGTGAGTGCCAGGTCAGCTGGGGCTACAGGGAGACCCTGTCTCAAAAAGACCAAAAAAAAAAAAAATTAACTAGGGGCTGGAGAGATGGCTCAGTGGTGTGGTTAAGAGTGCTGGCTACTTTTCCAGAGGACCTAGATTTGATTCCTAGCACCCACATGGCAATTAACAACTATCTGTAACTTTAGTTCCAGGGAATCTTGATGCCCCTTTCTGGCCTCAGAGGGCATGCATGCCTGCACTTATATACATACAGGCAACATACACACATAAAATAAAAATATAAAAAAATATTAAAAGAAAAAGAATTAGCTACATTCTCAGAGGTGCTAGTCTGGTGTGTGGATATTTGAGTAGCTAAGATATTGCTTGACACACAGTACCTTATCTAATCCTGGATGAATAAAGGGCATAATAAAAAAGTGTGCTGGGGTGAAACACAGCTTTTAGAAACGCAAGATCTTGAAACTCATTTTACTTGTAGGAAAGACGTCCAAGAGATCGGAGAAGAGGTAGGAAATGTGGCAGAGGTCATAAAGGAGAAAGGCAGAGAGGAACCAGGCCCCGGCTGGGCTTTGAGGGAGGCCAGACTCCATTTTACCTCCGAATCCCAAAATACGGATTTAATGAAGGGCATAGGTAAGGATGCTCTGCTTTTTGAAGTACAAATTCCCTAGTTTTCATTGAGAGTTACTTAAGAAATAATTTGGTAAAAAATCTTACATTCATTTTGAACCAATGTGGTACTATTCTTGGAATAATTTTTGGTAGTGAAATAATGTAAGTGCATGCTGGGGATGTGTGTGTGTGTGTGTGCGTGCGTGTGCATGTGTGCATGCATGTAAGCCCAGAGGTTCTCAGACCTGCAAAATGGAGATGATCATGCTTGCTATCATGATTCCTTAGAGAATTAGTAATTAAAAAAAAAATACATATACACACAAATATGTAATATATGGCCCATTGTAGTCACCTAGTAATGATAACTACCACAGTTGTTCTGTGTTCCATGATTATCTAATTCAGATAGTAGGTTAAACCTCCATAAGTTTACTTATGTGCCTGAATGAAGTAATTGCTTAGAAGGACAACTTATTTTTAGTGGAACAAAGGAATACTGGCTTTTTATTAATGTTTATATTGTTAGACCATCAAAAGTTTATGGAGGAAAATAAAGAACAAAGCTTTGAATTGATTTTAAGAAGTTACTAGAAGACTATTTTGTGTTTTCTAACTACTGCGTTCCTGTTTCATAGTTTCAGGCGCCAGTATCAGCCTTTGAGCCTCAGGAGACTGCAATATCTCATTGATTTAGGTCGAGTCGATCCAACTCAACCTATTGACTTAACCCAGCTTGTCAATGGGAGAGGTGTGGTGATCCAGCCACTTAAAAGAGATTATGGGGTCCAACTGGTTGAAGAGGTAAGTTTGATAGGCATTTGGGAGGCAGAGGCAGGCAGATCTTTGTAAGATCAAGGCCAGCCTAGTCTGCCTGTCAAGTTCCAGGTCACCAGGCAGGGCTACAGGGAGACCCTGTCTCAAAAAGACATCCAAGAGAAGTAGGCTCTTTCAAGTATCCATTTGGAAAAAAAAAAGTTTAGTTTCAATTTTCTGGTATTATGTAGATAGTTTGCCATATACAGTAGTCCCCTCTTGTCTGTGGGGGTTGCGTATCAAGTGGATACTTGAAACTGTGGATGTCACCAGGCGCTGTATATGCTGTTTTTTCTATTTCATATATACCTACAATAAAGATTAAGTTGTAAATTAGAGTGGTTAGGAACAGTTTGTACAGTTCCCAGCAACCTTAGCATACGATTCTTTTCTTTGCTTACTGAGTGGAGAGCTTCCACTTCATGTACACACTTTGTGCCTCCTCTTTGTCTTATCTCAATCACTAGCATCACTACTCTTGCATTTGGGGACAAGATTAAGTAAAACAAGGGTTACTTGAATAGAGCATTGGGGTACTGTGGCAGGCTAAATGGGCTGTAGCTGGTAAAGTGTGAATGTGATACAGAAAGGCATGGTTTATGTCCTGGGAAGTATGGGGTAGGCAGCTTGAGATTTCATCATGCTATTCAGCACACAGTTTAAAACTTACAAATGCTGGGGATGCAGCTCAGTCCTAAATCAGTTTCCTAGCATGCATGAGGCCTTGGGTTTGAGCCCTACCACTGCAAAAGAAGACTTAATGTAGTTTATAGGTGACATTGAAACTGAAACTATGGAAAGCAAATCTGATTATAAAGAGGGTGTATATAGTTAACACTCTGCCTCCTTTTTTCTTCAGTGTGAGCACTGAAGTGGTGATTGTGTTATACCAGCTGTGGTTTAGAAAGCTGACATGCTCTGGTGGCAGGGCTCTGTCTTCTGCCTCTGTGGATCTGTATAGCTTGCTACTCAGTTCTTTGGTATTCACCTATCAGTATAGTAGGAAGGTCTTCTTGACAGCTTTGTTTTGTTTTTTTCTTTTTGGTCTGTTTGACACAGGGTCTCTCTGTAACCCCAGCTGACGTGGAACTCACTATGTAGACCAGGTTGGTCTTGGACTCACAGACATCCCCCTGCCTCTTGTCTCCCAAGTGCTGGGATTAAAGCATGCACCACCACGCCCATCTGTTTGTTTTTTAAGACAGCTCTAGCAGGCTGACCTGGAAATTCCTGTGTAGACCAGGCTGGCCACTGACTTGCAGTGATCCCTCTGCTCTGCCTCCTGAGTGCCAAGATTATAGGCATGTGCTACTGCAGCTCGCTTGGAGCTTCTTGTAAAGGAACACCTGCCCCACTCTAATAGACACATCCTGTGCCTACCTTACCTGGTCAAAGCATTTTTCTTTGAATAATGAATATTTAATATTTATCACCAAGTTATGAACTTACATTTCATGGTCTTCCTCACTACAGTGTAAACCCTATGAGGGCAGGGACTGTGTTAATAGTTTCAATATTGGAAATCTTAGTTCATGAAAGTTTATGGAGGAAAGAAAAGAATGAATTAAATCCCATTTCAACTTCATTAAAAATTTGTTTGTAGGAAATAGTCAAGGGTTCATAAGCAAATAAGTTTTTGTACATTGTTAATGAACTATAGTAGCTGGGTAGGTAACTTGGTGCCCACTAGAGGGAAGCCTATGTTTGTGGATAAACCTTTTAAATTCCTTTGAAAAGATGAATCTGTGAAAAGAGCTTTCTAGATAATACCAGTCACCTAATATGGTAGCTCACAACTGCAATTCCAGCATTTGGGAGGCTGAGGCAGAAGGATTCCTAGAAGGTTGAGGCCACCTGAGCTGTGTAATGGATTCCATGCCAGCCTTGGATTGAAGAGTCTCAGAACAACAACAAAAAGCAAAAGAGAAGACAGTTAAATTCATTTGAAAAAATACCCAAAACATGGTGAAACCTCAATATTCTACTGTGGGGATGTAAGGAAAAGACATGTGTTGCAACCCAGAAAAGTTCGTGACCTTGGCAGCCCTGAAACTGCACATCCCATTACCCTTCAGATGTGTGTATTATGCTAGTAGAAATCATCCTGAAAATTCTACTGTCGGGCAGTGGTTGAATACATGCAGTCATTTATAGCTTTATAAATTGTTTACCTTTTCTGAGTTACACATTTGCAAGTAAATAGTGGATGTTAAGACTGTTTTGACTAGTTAGCACAGCGTTGTGTATTTGGGACTCTGTATTCTGGAGGAAAACAAAAACAAGATTTATAGACGTTCCCCCAAAATGCTATTTATAATGTTGAAAATACTGGAATGCACACCAGTGCCTAAGAATAGAGAGGTAGTTAAGCAGTCTGTGGGTACTAATTAAAAATCACAAATTACACCTCAAGACCCTAGTTTTTGAATCAAAAGTTGGATATAAAAATGCACACCATTAAGCCGGGTGTGGTAATGCACGCCTTTAGAGGCAGAGGCAGGTGAATGTCTGTGAGTTCAAAGCCAGCCTGGTCTACATAGTGAGTTCCAAGATAGGTGGGGCTACAGGGAGACCCTGTCTCAGAAAGACAACAACAACAAAAAAAAAAGAAGGAAAAAAAAGCACACCATTATCAAATACAAAATATGAGAAAATACACCTTATATTTAATAAACTATTTTTGAAGTGTATGAGAAATTCCTAATGAAAGGTATCAGATTGAGAGTTAGTTTCAATCATACTAGCAAAAGCACCTCTTTCCATAAAAGAGCAGTAATGCTGCCATCTTTTTATCATGAACTTAATTTCATGTTTCAGAGTTAGAGAAAAATGAGCAGATCCTAATTGATATAGCCGAAGTAAAAAATGTTCTGGAGTTGAACATTCTAGGGGAAAGTAGAATTTTACCCCCAGCATAGAGAAGGTATAAAATCAATAGGGAACGCAAAGTGAATTTCCCTTTTTCCCCAAAGGGAGCCAGCACCACAGCATTGTGGGAGGTCTTCCACTTGCTCCAGATCCCCATCTCCTCTCTCACATGCACTTAATTAGGAATAAGGAAGGCTTCTTACCTATGCTGTCCAGTATTGTGTCGTTAAGAATTCAGATCTGGGGCCTGGAGACATGGCTCAGTGGTTAAGAGCACTGGCTGCTCTTGCAGAGGACCTGGGTTCGAATCCCAGCACCCACATTGTGGCAAACAACCATCTGTAACTCCAGTTCCAGGGCATCTGACACTCTTCTGACCTCTGGGCATTACTTGACATGGGTGCACTTAACGTACATGCAGGCAGTACATTCATACATGTAAAAAAAAAAGACTATAGAGCCAAGACTGGTGAAATGGCTTCATGGGTAAAGGCACTTACCATGTAGGCCTGATGACCTGAGTTTGATCCCCAAATCCATGTAAGGTAAAAAGAGAACCAACTCCACAAACTTGTCTTCTTGCTGTGGCACGCATGCCTGTACGTACACATGAACACCTGCACAGACACTGAAAATGAATAAATTTAAAAAGACTTTCTAAAAGAGAACCCAGATGGTGCTGGGACTGTAGCTCAGTGGTAGAGCACAAGTCTCTGGGTCTCATCCTCAGCACTGGAGGAAATCCCAACTCAAAGGCTCTGACTAGATTCTGGATTAGAATCCTAGCTTTGTGATCTTGGGCAAATCACTCAACCCCTCACACTTCACTATCCCCATCTGTGAACTTGGTACTCTATAATCCTGTCGTAGGGTTGTTAGAACTAAACAGTCTACTAATAAAGTACCAGGGATGGGTGCTTCTGTCAGTGTTTACTAAATGCAGAAAATGGAAATAAGACAGTCCTTCCTACTACAGGGGTTGAGAATTGGTGAAGCACAGAGGCCTAAAAAATGTAGAAGAAATTTGATAGGACCCCTAAGCAGAGATATTTAGAAATAGGATTACAGATACTTTGGAGGGAGAAATGCACGTTAAGCCAGAAGCTTAGCTGAGCTATTTACTAATGGACTGTTTGACTTTTGGCAGGGTGCTGACACCTTTCAAGCAAAGGTTAACATTGAAGTGCAGTTGGCTTCGGAACTAGCCATTGCTGCAATTGAAAGGAATGGAGGTGTCGTTACTACAGCCTTCTACGACCCGAGAAGCCTGGGTAAGCGTGTTTGTTCTCTGGCCAGTTTCTTTGTTAGTGAATACAAATACTGGTAGTTGATCTACATCTGTCGTGTAGATTATCATGATACAAAAACTAAGGCATGTGGCTGAAAGGTATGCAATGTTCAGACCCACATCTGCCTCCCTGGCCTCTCCTTTTGAAAGTAGCAGGGATGTCAAGTCCACCATGTGAGGAACTTCTCAACTTTATCTTACAATTTCCACCAACATTATGACAGTCTCTTTCGGGTTTTTTTTTTTACCCCAGATTGATAGTCTTCTGGCTTCTTTTATACCTTTATAAATGCCATAAGTACTGTCTTTAAAGTTTGTTCACAGGACTGGAGAGTTGGCTCAGCACTTAGGTCCTCTTCCAGAGGACCTGGATTTGGGTTCCCAGCACCCACATGACAGCTAACAATTGTGTTTAACTCCAGTGCCGTCATGGGCCTTGCACATGGTGAACTTACATATATGTAGGCAAAACATTCATATACATAAAAAAAAAATCTTTTGAAAATATACAATAAGGTGAATTTTCTCTTGAAAGTTTGCAACTGGTTTGGTAGTTTTGAATCAGGGGCTCACTATGTAGCCCAGGGTGGCCTGTTTCCTGCCCTCCCCTCTTTTACTAGTATTTTAATATGTTTTAAAAAGCAAAAAAAAGTTTTTCTTCTGTGGTTCCCCTTATGTGTTTATCTAATTTTGTTTATACATTTAAAAAATTACTGCTTTTTTTTTCCTTTTCCTTTCTTCCATTTTGTCACTTTCGGCTTTTTAAATATTTTATGTACTATTTTTTAATTTTACATGTATGAGTGTATTTCCTGAGTGTAAGTGCAGCTGTGTTGTGCAATGCCTGCGGAAGTCAGAAGAGGGCATCAGATTCCCCTGGAACTGGAGTTATGGGCAGTTGTTAGCTGCCATGTGGGTGCTGGGAATTAAACCCAGGTCTTCTATAAGAACAGCCAGTGCTCTAACCACTGAGCATCTCTCCAGCCCCATCACTTGTGTTTTTACCCACTACACTTTTAGTGGTATTTAGTGGTATTCATATTTATTTTACTTTTTTCTGGTTCTAAATTTGGCAAATATCCATTCTTTTTAAAAGTTTTATGTCTTAAGAGTGTTTTGCCTGCATGTAAGTTCACCTGTGCCCTGCAATGCCCATAGAGGCGAGAAGAGGGTGTCAGACCCCCTAAAACTAGCCACCATGTGGGTGCTGGGAACCAAACCCAAGTCCTCTGCAGGAGAAGCCAGTTCCCTTAACCTGAGTCATCTCTCCAGCACTAGGATGAGATTTCTTATGTCGGAGTGTTGTGTATCTCTTTACCCAGTCTTTCATTTACACACACCAGTTAGGCTTTTAAATTTCCTTAAAACTTTTTATTGTATTTATTAATTATTTTATATGTACGAGTATATTGCCTGCATGTGTGTAAGTACACACATGTTGTATAATGTCCACAGAGGTCAGAAGAGGGCATCAGACCCCCTGGAAGTGGAGTTATGGAAGGTGAACCCCTGGTTCAAAAAAATCAAACCACTTGCAAACTTTCAAGGGAAAATTCAACTTACTGTACCTTTCAAAGGATTTTTTATGTGTATGAATGTTTTGTGTATATAACTTAGTGCCATATGGGTACTGGGAATCGAACCCAGGTCTTTTGCAAGAGCAGCCAGTGCTCTTAACCACTGAGCCATTTCTCTAGCCTCTATTTATTTGTTTACTTACTTGTCTTTGTATGTGTACAAATGTGTACATGTACGTGCCACAATGTGCATGTGGAGGTCAGAGGAAACTTGATGGAATCTACTTTCTCTTTTTACCATGTGAGTTCTTGGCGGCTAGCACTTTTACTTGCTGAGCCGTCTTGCCAGTCCTAAATTTTCTTAAACTTTTTTTTTTTTTTTTTGGTCTTTTTGAGACAGAGTCTCCTTGTAGCCCTAGCTGGTCTGGATTTGCTATCGAGATCAGGCTGGCCTCCAACTCACAGAGATCCGCCTGCCTCTGCCTCCCAAGTGCTGGGATTAAAGGCATGTGCCACCATGCCCGGCTGCTTAAACAATTTTTTTTTAGTTTGTTTTTAATTATGTGTATGTGTGTGTCTTTGTGTGTTACATGAGTGCAGGTGCCCAGGGAGGAAAGAGGTATTGGATTCACATGGACCTAGAGTTACAGGCAAGCTGCCTGATGTGGGTCCTGGGAATCAAACTTAGATTCTCTGCAAGAGCAGCAAGTGCTCTTAACTGCTAAGCTGATCCAGCCCCTAAATTTTCTTGCTATATATCTTTTTTTGGTTTTGTTTTTGGTGGTTTTTTGAGACTGGGTCTCATAATGTAGCACACTGGCTGGCCTTGAACTCACAGAGATCTGCCTGCTCCCCACCAACCCTCATTAAAGGCATGCACCACCACAGCCTGCTAGCTTTTTTTTTTTTTTTTTTTTTTCAAATGACAAGAAGTTGCATCATGAATAATTCCTCATTTATTCTGCATTTTAGTATGATTAGTTGGCCAGAAGCCTGTTTTTCTAACCGATTGGTGACTATGAGCTGGGGGTGATGGCGTGCATCTTTAATCCCAGCACTCGAGGCAGAAGCAGAGGCAGAGGCAGGCAAATGTCTGTGAATTCGAGGCCAGCCTGGTCTCCATAGTGCGTTCCAGACCAGCTGGGGCTACAGGGAGACCCTGCCTCAAAAAGACCAAAAAAAAAAAAAAAAGTGACTATGGACCAATTTTTTTAATTAGTGGGAACAGGCCTCTCCAGACTTTGTATTCTCCTGTACAGGGTCTCTTTATTCTCTCTAATTTCCTTAAAAATATTTTTTGGGAGAGTAAGATAGCTTAATTTAAAATGTTTTTTCAAACCCTCCCTCCCCTCCCCTTTTTCCTTTCCTTTCCTTCTTTCCTTGGGTGTGGGAAGCAGGCGCGGTCGAGCCGGCCAAGATGGCGCCCTGGCTGGCTGCCAAGCCTCGTGCCCCTCACTTGTTTACTCCAACCTGCGCAAGCACAATAAGCCCGATCATGTGCTGCCTGCTTGATCAGAGACATCATCGAGTATGATCCTGCTACGTGGCCTAATAAGCTGCCACTCTGCCTGCCCGCTACGTGTGTGTGTGCCATGATTGGTCCTGGCTGGGGGGAGGGCTGTTGGGAACGCTATATGAAGAGCTGAAGTGTGTAATAGAGAGAGAGAGTGAGAAGAAGCCTAAACCTCACCTTGGTGTCTGTGTCGTCTTTCCTCGGCTCTGCTGGACGGAGTCGTGGCTTGCGGCACTTGGGTTTTCATGATATATATTATTACAAATTAATGTAATAATTTGTAAGATGGCTTGGTAAGAGCAGTTGCCAAGCAGACCTGACAGGGCTTGGTGTGAGCCTCTTTCCCACTAGGACTTTAATAAAATGAAAATTAAATGAAAGTTGTTTTAGTTTTCTTACTTAAGCCTTAAAAAACTCTTGAGGGCTAGAGAGATGGCTCAGTGGTTAAGAGCACTGGCTGCTCTTGCAGAGAACCTGGATTTGATTCCCAGCACCCATGTGGCAGCTAACAACTGTCTCTAACTCCAGTTCCAGGGAAATCCAATGCACTCCTCTGACTTCCACAGGCATTGCACAACATGAGTGCACATATATGCAGGCAATATACTCATACATCTAAATAAAAACAAAAAAATATTTTTTTAAAGTTCTTGGAATAAACTCAGTAAATTAAAAATCAATAATTAAAAAACATGTTAAAATCATTATTTATAGAGCCAGTATTTACATCTCTTTATTTAAATTCTTTTAGAAATTCTGTGCAAACCCATTCCATTCTTTCTGCGTGGACAACCCATTCCAAAACGGATGCTCCCACCCGAAGCTCTGGTGCCTTATTACACTGATGCAAAGAACCGTGGGTACCTGGCAGACCCTGCCAGGTTTCCTGAAGCAAGACTTGAACTCGCCATGAAATACGGTTATGTTCTTCCTGATATCACTAAAGATGAACTCTTCAAAATGCTCAGTACTCGGAAGGATCCAAGGCAGATATTCTTTGGTCTTGCTCCAGGATGGGTGGTTAATATGGCAGATAAGAAAATTCTCAAACCTACAGATGAGAATCTCCTGAAGTATTACAGCTCTTGACCTCCTCAGCACGTCAGTACCAGAAAAGGCCACAAGATGGGTCTCTTACTTCATTTCCCAAATGTGTAGCCCTCCAGGTGTTGATGTTAGTTGTCACTGTAATCATATCTCTTGTTAATTTTCACCTAATAAACTGCTGGAAGCAAGACCCGCATAGAGGAGTGGAGTCCTTGAGGGCTCTCAGAAGTTCAAACTGGTGTCTTTCGGAGGATGATTATGATCATTTTATAAAATACCTTTTCATCTTCTCATAATCTCTTATGCCGTCCTTGTCTTGTTACTGTTTGAAGTCAGAATGAAGGGCAAATGGAATGGGACTGATCAGTAGGGTTATTCAGCTGAGAGCAGCTGCCTAGGAGCTGGTGGCTTCTTCTCAGTAGTTTTAGGGAAGCTTTGTTCCCCACTATCTAGATGCTGAGCTCCCAGCCTTGCTAGAGATGGTCAGCATGTGACGGTTAACAGCTGGTGAATAGTGTCTAAGGAGTGTTGCAACAGTGGGGGGCTAGAGAAACAGAGATTACAAGTGAATTAATTTTCTCAACATTGGTAAGAGTATACAATGATCAAGCCATTAGCATTTTCCTTGAAGTGTTCTGATAAAATTTTATCTCACAGTAGCATTTTGTTCTTGAAGTGTTGAAGGTCTTTGTTTTTTAGTCATTTCACATAATTTTGGAAAACTTGGCCAATGATTATATGAGCCATACAACCAAATAGAAATGGGAAAATCAGGCTCATGTTTTATTTTTGTTTGTGTGTGGTGGTTTTTAGATGGGCGTTTCCCTTCATGTTGAAGCTGACCTTCATCTGAGCTCAAGTAATCCTCTTGCTTTAGCTCTTCAAACAGCTGGGACTACAGGCGTTACGTTGCTGTGCCCAGCTTAAGTTAAGCCAATGTGGAAGATTCAGGAGCTAACAAGCTTTTCCAAAGATACACTGTTCAGATCTCACAAAAGCTGAATTTACCTTGAGTGATTAAAAATTATGGTCTTTTTGAGCTACCATACCTGGCAGAGCAATTAGGAATTGATCTTCAGTAATTCATGATAATGAATTCCACAGTTAAAGATTCTTGACTGTCTTAAAATAATTTTAAAAAAGGGTGGGGGGCTGGAGAGACAGCTCAGCGGTTGGGAGCACTGACTGCTCTTGCAGAGGACCCGGGTTCGATTTCTAGCACCCACATGGTGGCTATGGACCATCCTTAACTCCAGTTCTGGGGAAATATGAGGCCGTCTTCTGACCTCCATGGTGTTGCATGACACAGGTGCACTCACATACATACAGGCAGTACACTCATACACATAAATAAATAATAAAATTAAAAAAACATAAATCATGCAATGTATTTCTTATTTATTGACTTTTCCACGTGTCCAGAGTGTGTTTCAGGTTTTATACAGGATTGTATAATTTGGTTTGGTATAAATTGTTCTGGGAAGCTAGAATTAAGAAAAATCTGAAATCCCAAGACTTCTCCTGGTGTGCTGGATAGCTTTAGTGTCAACTTGACACACCTGGATTGAGGGAGCCTCAGTTGGGGAATTGCCTCTATTGGATTGGCCCGTGGCCATGTCTGAGGGGCATTTTCTTGATGAGTGATGTGGAGGGCCCAGCCCACTATGGGTGGTGCCACCCCTGGGCAGGTGGACCTGTGTTGTATAAAAAAGCCGGCTGAGCAGGGGCCAGGGAAGCAAGCCAGTAAGCAGCATTCCTCCATGGCCTGTGCTCCAGCTCCTGCCTCCAGATTCCTGCCCTGGGTTCCTACCTTGGGCTCCCTGATGAACTGTGACCTGGGAGATGTAAGACAAATAAACCCTTTCCTCCCCAAGTTGTATTGGTCAGAGTGTTTTGTCACAGCAATGAAGAAACAAACTAGGACACCTGGACAGGCAAAAGTTTAAAAACGTATTTTTATTTTTCAGAGATCACCAAGTGACAGAGGTGGTGTGTTTGGTTAGTCTCGGCTCTACTGATAGGAACTTGAAGTTACAGTACTTGAATTAATTAACACTAATTCTCCACTCACAGATGAGGCACCAAGCTCCACGAGATCCCTCCTGACAGATCTAAAAAAGGCTAGGCAAGAATAAGCTGACTTTTTCCTAAGGAGGGTTTCTAGAAGCTGCCACATAGAACTTCTGTTTATAGACATTGGCCAGACCCTGGAGTCCTGTTCTGCAGAGGCCAGAAGTCTGTAGCAGCTAGTCTTCTCAGGAGAAAATTCCTGTTACGGTTGGTAAGAGAGTGAACACATTGGATAACCAGCCAGGAGATTCATAGATAGTCCCACTAAACTTCAGCTCAGGTGGATTGACTTACATTAGACAAACAGGAAAGTGCAGAATTCTTTAATTCTATACCTGGAATGTTGAGTTCAGTAACATATAACAATAAGGTTAATTCATCAATTTTTTAAGAAATAAAAGCTATCAGTGTAGACTAGGCTGGCCTTGAACAGACAGAGATCTGCTGGGTTAAAGGTGCGCACCACCTGCCCTGCCTTTCATTACCCTGGTCTGTAAAATCTTTTTGAGAATGCTGGCAAAACTCCGGAAACCATCGAAGGAAGTGTTTACCTTCTGTGTCTGCTTGAAAATATTTTCACCATAAAGCCATCTTACACTAACAATGTTAGGTATTTTGAATGTTGCATTTGAACATGAGAAAGATGATAGGATGCCAAAAATGCGAAGAAGGCCAAGGTGGAAAGATGTGTTTTTATTAACTGTTGACAGCTCCTAAAGGTTATTTTTAAGCTATGGCTGAGAAAAGTCTTATAAAACAGTTTGGGGGATAACCTTGAACTACTGCCCTTCCTGCCCCTACTCCCTAGTGCTGGGATTACAGATTTATGCTATCACGCCCAGCTGTTTTTGAAGTTTTAAAAGAACCAGAAGCGCCTGTTCTTATTGTTGCCTGACCTACTTCTCAGGGTACCTGAGCCAGTTTTATTTTCCTCACAGTTTATTTTACAATTTATTTTATTTTTAATTTTATTTTCTGGTCCTATTTTCACTGGTCCAGTTAGGACCAGCTGGTCTGGTCTGGTCTTTTTTGAGACAGCCTCAGCTGGCCTGGAACTCACTATGTAGACCAGATTGGCCTTGAACTCACAGAGATCCACCCACCTCTGCCTCCCATACAATTTTTTTAATTAAAAAAAATAGTTAATCTTATTTGTATGAGTGTTTTGCCTACAAGTATATGTCCACCATGTGCATGCAATGCCCACAGAGGCCAGAAGAGGACCTCAGAGCCCCTGGAACTGGAGTTACAGACAGGTGTGTGCTGGGAACTCAACGCCAGTCCTCTGTAAGTGGCAGGTGCTCTTAACTGCTGAGTCAGCTCTCCCTCTCCAGTTTTAAGTGAAATGGTAGATTAGATTGTGGATATTGTTGAGAGCTTGCTCACTGTGTCAGGTTTATTTCATTTACTTCTAGTGTTGAATCCAGGTCCTGTGAGTACTCAGTGCGCACTTGGCCACTGAACAGCGTCCTCAGCACTAAAGCAAATATATTTTAAATACATATTTTCTGAACAGTTTACTATTAGGGTATTTTATTTTTGGTTCTTTTTGAGACAGGGTCACCCTGTAGCCCCAGCTGGCCTGGAACTCATTATGTAGACCAGGGTGGCGGTGAACTCAGAGTTCTGCCTGCCTCTGCCTCCCAAGTGCTTGGACTAAAGACATGCACCACCACTCCTGGCCTGTTAGGGCATTTAACTAAACTCCTTTCACCTTAGAATGGAATGCATTAGACAAGTTACTTCACCTTTCTTAAACTGAAATGCAGCACCAATCTTTGCAGAACACCAATATTATGTAAAACGAACTCTAAAATATCTGTAATACCTGTCCACAGTTTTGGAGATTGAACCCAGGACTTCACTCATACTAGGTGAACTCTCTGCTACCCCTGAGCTGTAACTGGAGCTCCAGTTGAAACATCTTGATTCAGCCGCTGACTTGATCCGAGGAGAACTCCTTTGATTTCAGCCTATTTGCTTAGAAATGAATTTCCTTAAATTTAAACATATCCTGTACTGTGCCTGGGTACGAAGTGTAGAAATAAACCTGAAAGTTCCCTTTCGGTGCGCTGTGGCCCTAGGTTACTGCCTTGCGGGACTGAGCTGCAGGTTTTCCTTTTGTGATGCAATTTACAATTGTACTTCTGAAGCGACTGGCTCTGCCTCCACAGGAAAATTCTTCATGGGAAGTGAGGGAGGAAATTAGTCACCTACAGAGGGACTGCACACTGCAGCTGCCATCTCAGAGTGTACTTTGATTTGAGGGTCTTTGGATTCCTCTCCCCCATCCCTCCAAGGAGAATGAGTAACCACCCTCAGTCATAGAAGGAAAACAGTCAAACAGGAGGTGTTCTTAATTGTGGTTGTCTCTGGTGCCCTACAGGCGGAAGGAAATCAGGATGGAGTGGTAAAGGGAAGAATGAAGACAGGAAACAGATGTCTGGTCACGTGTAATGCTGGCCAGTGTTTATTTGGTGAGCATGGACTTAGTCACAAACATCTGTGTCCTGGTTGTGATACTGTAATTTTGCAGTTCATTTGCCACCAAAACAGTGCATTCTGTAAAATCTGTTTCGCAGGTGTGCTAACTGCTGTAAGGCAAGAGGACACAAGCTTAACTGAAATGCTTCTGGACTCTAAAGTACTGGTATACTGTGACCCTCATGCCATTTACAAGGATTGGAAGATGATAGCTTTAAGAGTTCACATGACTTGAAAATCTAAAAGCAGGAGCCTTTAGTTTAGATCTTAGTCCTTTTCTGGCATGTGGCTTCAGCTGTTCTCAGTATACATGGCTTTGGGTGTCCAGAACCATAAACCTTTGAGTTAATTTGTATTTCAAAAAGATTTTTAGTCTGGGTGTAGTGGTTCATGCCTTTAATCCCAACACCCAGAAGGCAAAGGCAGGTGGATCTCTGAGTTTGAGGCCCGCCTGGTTGACACAGACCCTGTTTCAAAAAACCAAAAAATAAAATTAGAGTAAATAAATTTTCTAGGGGGCCTGGAGAGATGGCTCAGCGGTTAGAGCACTGACTACTTCTGCAGTGCACCTGGGTTTGGTTCCCAGCCCCCTCATGGCAGCTAACAACTGTCCTTAACTCTAGTTCCAGGGGATCTGATGCCTTCTTCTGGCATCTTCAGGCACTGCATATATATGTGGTGTACTTAAATACATGCAGGCAAAAGACTCATACACATAAAATTAAAAATTAGAGAAAAAAGA